TTTTTGTCAACTTGTTCTCTTTCAATTAGGACTGGTTTTATATTTCTGTTTGCATCTGATTAATCGTGGGCCTCATTTATCTGAGAGTAGGCATGGTCAAAAATGGTCACAATGGCCGACCATTGAAAGTGAATGGGAGAGACTGAAAATAACAGAACAATTTAGTTTTCAGGAGCATGTTCATTATTTTCATGTACACATATGAGCATGTGTGCTTGCAAACATCGAGCCCTTGGACCTGTGCATGTATCGATACATTTATACACACGCTATCCAGACACACACACGTTAAAACACACAAACTTTTTTAAATATTACACACATTCTTTTCCACAGAGAGAAATTTGATCCTACCCTAACCTGCATCTAATATACATTTATCCATCTGACATTACCACACACACACACACACAGGCCGTGATCAGATTTTTGACTCAGAAACTAGTGAGGAGGAGGAAATTCAGGATGCATCTTGCAGTGAAGATGTTTCTGAAGAGGAAGGCACCACTGAATCGGCTACGGAGCTTGAAACAACTGATGAGGAGCAGTCTTCCAGTGATGAGGGCCCAGCTGAGGTTACCGTTTCATTCTGGTCAAAAGATGGAACTTTGTCCTGGCCTTCATCCCCACCTATGAGGCAAGGCAGGTTTTCTTCTGAAGGCCTTCCTCTTCAGAAACATCTTCACTGCAAGATGCATCCTGCATTTCCTCCTCCTCACTAGTTTCTGAGTAAAAAATCTGATGAATAACATCATGTGCAGAGCTGTTTTGCCATTGTGCTGCCACAAATGAATGACAAGCAAGGTGCTGTGAGGCATTTTATATATGCCTGTGCTATCACATGATGTATATTTGTAAATATTGTCTAGTTCTGTGTGAGAACCTCACAGTTCCAAAACAAAATGTCATAATATTTTGTCTGGAAGCTGTGATGAAACAAGACCATGAAAGAAAGATTCTTTTGAAGCCGGGTCACTGCAGTCACGGCCAGTTTGTGTGTGTGTGTGTGTGTGTGTGCGTGTGTGTGCGTGTGTGTGTGTGTGTGTGTGTGTGTGTGTGGTAATGTCAGATGGATAAATGTATATTAGATGCAGGTTAGGGTAGAATCAAATTTCTCTCTGTGGAAAAGAATGTGTGTAATACTCAAAAAAGTTTGTGTGTTTTAACGTGTGTGTCTGGGTAGCGTGTGTATAAATGTATCGATACATGCACAGGTCCAAGGGCTCGATGTTTGCAAGCACACATGCTCATATGTGTACATGAAAATAATGAACATGCTCCTGAAAACTAAATTGTTCTGTTATTTTCAGTCTCTCCCATTCACTTTCAATGGTCGGCCATTGTGACCATTTTTGACCATGCCTACTCTCAGATAAATGAGGCCCACGATTAATCAGATGCAAACAGAAATATAAAACCAGTCCTAATTGAAAGAGAACAAGTTGACAAAAAGATTGAATCCAAGATTGGGTGAAAATATGGTATTATAAGTGATTTATAAGCTATTTTTTATAGGCCGGTCATTTTTGACCGGGAACATCTCAAGTGTGACTATGTGCCATATTTTTTACAAAACAAAAGTTTCAAAACAAAATTCCCGGTGAAACATTAGAGTAGACTAGTGTGATTAACAGTAGCCATTTTTTTCATATTTTTTTTTAATATTTCCAAATTTACTCATAAATTATTTGTTTTTTACTAAAAAAATTAGATGCTCACTCTCAGATAAATGAGGCCCACGATTAATCAGATGCAAACAGAAATATAAAACCAGTCCTAATTGAAAGAGAACAAGTTGACAAAAAGATTGAATCCAAGATTGGGTGAAAATATGGTATAATGAGTGATTTATAAGCTATTTTTTATAGGCCGGTCATTTTTGACCGGGAACACCACAAGTGTGACTATGTGCCATATTTTTTACAAAACAAAAGTTTCAAAACAAAATTCCTGGTGAAACATTAGAGTAGACTAGTGTGATCAACAGTAGCCATTTTTTTTCATTTTTTTTTTTCATATTTCCAAATTTACTCATAAATTATTTGTTGTTTACTCAAAAAATGAGATGCCTACTTTCAGATAAATGAGGCCCCCGATTAATCAGATGCAAACAGAAATATAAAACCAGTCCTAATTGAAAGAGAACAAGTTCACAAAAAGATTGAATCCAAGATTGGGTGAAAATATGGTATAATGAGTGACTTATAAGCTATTTTCTATAGGCCGGTCATTTTTGACCGGGAACACCACAAGTGTAACAATGTAACAAAACTCCCACAAAAAAATAAGAAAATTTTCAAAAAAAACCTGAGATTTAGTTAAACCGTTTGGGAACAAAGTCACTAAGTTTCAGTCCAAAGCGATAACATTAACTAGTATTTTCGGGAAAAAGAAAATCTTCTCCGGGTCAAATTGACCCGAACACCACATGAGGGTTAAATATTTAAGGAGCACTTGTAGCTGTAAAATCTACCTCATCCTTATTGATGTCAAACTGGTGAAAAGTTTTTTGAGCTCTGAACTCTTGAGGTTAAAAAGGAATTCGAAGTGGAATCCGAAAGCCTGAATTTTTTTGAGGTGATGGTTTTGCTACACTGTAAAAAGTGATTAGTTGACTAAATTAAAAAAAATTTAGGAAACCTGTTGCCTTAAAATGATTAAGTAAATAAACTTGCTAAATGGAAAAAAATGAAGTATGTGGAATTATCAAATGTGACATTGATCACAGCATAGCTTTTCTTGATCTCATAAACCAATATCAATGATAAAGACAGAGGGAATTTGGCCGTAAATGGGGGTTTTCCTGCTGGGGAAGTGGCTTTTTGCTCAGATATTGTAGGTCTTGTTGTTGTGGTAAGTGTGGAGGGGCTGTTTTTGATGTGCTCATGTTTTGTAAGAGAATGTCTTACTTCACTACTGAGCATAATGCAGACCATCAGATAAAACTCTCCAAAATCAATTTCTCTATCTGCATCCCAATCCAGCATGTTGAAGGTCAGCATTATGTGTTTCTTCCCCATTGTAGTCATATGCTTCATGAAAAGGTAGAACTGAATGTCTGAGGAAAGGAAAAGAAAAGCACAACAGTTATTCAAAACATTGAAATTCCACCATATAGCCACTTATTAGAGATTCATAAAAATTACATAAAACGATTCATAAAAATTACATAAAACGATTCATAAAAATTACAGATTCATGACTTCCCTAGTGAAAAATAAATATACTAAATAATTTTTTAATACATTTATTTATGCTAAGTATACTACAAAGACATTTACATATTACGTCTTAATATATAAATACTCTGCAATTTTACTTTTGATATACTAAATTGATATGATTCTCATGACTTATTATGTGAGGTTTATTGTATTTGGTCTGTCTATAGTCTGTGGAGTAGCATTCAAGTAAGATTTACATTGTACTTGGTAACTTGCGCACATGACAATAATAAATGACTTGATTTGACTTGTCTGCTAAATTGGAACAACTAATTGTGAACTTTATCTACTATATTTATCCAGAAATAGTACTGAGATCCAACTAAAGATAGGTACACTTTAAATGTCTTGCATTTAAAGACTGATGTCATACAGTGATATTAAACACATATATATATATATATATACATATATATATAAACACATTTTAGGCTTAATATAAAAAAAATTGTATTTTGCAATAAAGTAGTACTCCAAATAAAGTCTAATTATAATTTATATATCAGACAAGTCTCAAGCGATATGTCAGTAAATATGCTAATGGGTTTGTTGTATACTTAGTATGAAATAAATGTATTTTAAATACATTTTGGAATAAGTTTTTTTCACTAGGGTTGTCCTCTTGTTAAAGATGAAATATCCATTAACAAGTAATTATTCTTACCGTTCAGTGTTTTTTTTCTCTCTCCTGACTATCCAGAAGGCAGAAATAATCATAAATTTTTTAGTGTTTCTCAGTTAGGGAATGCAATAAAATTTGTTTAAATTCAAATAATGGATAAAAAGACCTGCTTCTTTTAACTTAATTTTTCTCTTTGGGTTGAAATAACGTCACCCTTCAATTAATACTTTTACCATGGTAATTATGTTTCTACAAACGATTCATCTACAACAAAATAGACCTTATATTTATTTACTACAATAATTTCTCACTAATAATGACATTAAAAGTGGAAAAATTTGGTTAAAACGTACATTTACACACAAACTGACCACCAACTGCAACTTTCAAACACCATATTTATTTTTTAACGCAACTGACACAGAATGGAACGCGCAGAATTATGGGGCAGCATTTTTCAGCTTTCGGGCACGACCACTGAGCTGAGAGTTCTTTATTTTCTTTTCTTTTTTAAACGTTATCTATATACTAGGCATCTTATAGAACACTTTTCCTGTGTCATGCTGAATAGTGTCATCAGTGTTTCATGTGTAATTTCTAATCAGAACCCTTAATGCACAAATCACTAAATGACATAATCTGAGTGAAAAGGGGAATTTTTGAATTGGAAAAAACAGCAGAGCAGGGTATAGGGACAAGCAAATCAAACACAGTAACGCAACCAGGTAAATCATCCTCTGGCTTTCAGATGAGAACTTGTGGCAGAAATTCCCAAGGTTTTGGAAAACAAATATTTGACTAAATTTCTTTCCCACCCTTTAGGCTCAGTAGTCCACACTGGAAACCAATTAGCAATTTCATGTCCTATCTTTTCCTTCCAAATGTAATACAGTCCAATAAAAGCGCCATACTTTCCTGAACGGGCTTCGTTATTGTATATAAATAGACCATTATTAGAGAAGAGATAGGACTCAGTGACAGTAAGAAGGTTCAGTGGAAGTGAGAGGAAGTCAGAGGAAAGCTCAGGTTCTGGAGTTGCTCATTCTGTGTTTGGTTCCTCTATAACCTGCACTGGACTTTTCCTGGCCAGGGAAATTCTGCCCTCCTGACATGTTACTTATAAGCTTGCACACTAAAACACAACAAAGCAAAGCGAGGTCAATCTGGTTGGATTTTTGAGTGATCAAAGGTAAGTCTCTTTTATAATCTCATTAAAAGTACCACTTAATTATTTTACTGAAATACTGTAAATTCTAAATATTATTTAATTATAAAATGTATCAAATATTTGTTCAGTTGTTATTATTATTATTTATGGTAGCCTAAGAGTTCACCACGAGCAATAGTTTTGCTTAAGGAGAAAGATTTTATATTTAAACTGACAATTTTAGAAATGTATAACAATAGCAGAAGTAGGATTAACAATTTAACACGCATAGCAAACAATAGGCCAAATATTCTATTACAAAATGACAGGCAAATGACCATAGAGTAAACCTTTTCTTTTTCTACCAACAGATGTTTTTCCTCTTGCTAGGTACATTGATGTTTCTCCAGTCCTCTACTGCAGGATCCATCAAAACAACTGAGAGTCACTGGACACTTAAACCGAATGGTTTGTATCTCTGAATCATGTCTGAAGAATTTTTATTGTGTTAGTTTCTCCTAGATATTTACTTGACCCTGAAATACTCCTACTTGAGCTCTGCTTATTAACTGGATTTTATTTGTATTTGGGCTTGTTTTTATGCAGTCGCACCTCTAATTTTTATTTTCCAATTGTCTGTCATCAGTGCTTGTAGTGAATGTAGATGCTGGTAAAGATGTGAACACGGTACAAGTGCCACTTATCTGTGGAGAAGCCTACGAAGGGCAAAATGTTAAATGGACCAAAAACAAAGATGAAAATCTGGAGGCTCAAGAAAACAGGATCATGGTCACAGTGGAGGGGTGGAAGGGGGCCAATTACTCCTGTTTCAACAAGGAGGGCTCCTACCTAAACCACACACTGGTGCTGGCTCAGTGGACCTTCAAGAAGATTATCAAGAACACTCCTGAGAAAGGTAGACCCATCATTTACATTGTGTACTGTAGCATTTTCATAATATTGAAATGATTTCAAACCTTCCAGAAAATCCAGTTTTCAGTGTCACATGATCCTTCAGAAATCATTCCAATATGCTGATTTGGTGTTTAAGAAACATTTCTGATTATTATCAATGTTGAAAATAGTTGTGCTGCTTAATATTTTTGTTGAAACCGTGATAAAAACAATTCAGGATTCTTTGATGAATAGTCCAAAAGAATAGCATTTATTTGAAATGGAAATCTTTTAACATTATAAATGGCTTTACTGTTACTTTTGATCAATTTAATGAGTCTTTGCTCTACATATAAGGATTAATTTAAAACACTTGATTGCAAACGATTTTTATGTTTATAATGTGTATTTATTTGATTTATTTAATTACCAAACAAGGTTACATCCATTGTTCAACAAATAACTATGGAGGTTCCTTCCAATGTTCCTGGACATGGGATAAGAACAGGCATGGCCATGTTGCTCATATCAAAGCCACACGGTAAGTTTCCCAAACTTGCTCTGCCATCTGCAATGATGTGAGAAATGTGGAGAGAAAAAATGTTTGACTGTGTGATTCTGATCCAGGCCTCACGGTGGAAGCAACATCAGCTGCAGTCTGGATTCCGAAGGACAGAGTATCACATGCTTAGATCAAGACTACTGTGCTTATTCAGAGGAGGTGGACCGCATCAACCTGACCATATACTTCAGAAGTAGCTTTGTTGTAGAAACCTACAACAAAAAGTTCTACATCATGGATATTGGTGAGTGCTTAAAAATTGATAAGATGGGGCTTATAGAATTTTGTCACTTATCTGAATATGAAACAGTGTTGCTGACATCTTTTTCTCCACTTTTAAGTGAGGCCTGATGTGGTGGCTATTAGCAGGATCAATAAAACATCTGTAGAAGTTGGCTATCCACTCTCCTGGAACACACCATCTTCCTACTTCCCTCTCATCTTCCAAGTGAAAGAGATTCGCTGTCGGAAAGGCGAAAAATGTGACTGCTCCAAACCAAACTTGCCAAAGGTATTGTTAACTGATTTTACATATAATAATTACCGGTTAAAAGTTTGGAATAATTACGATTTCTAATGTCTCTTATGCTCACCATTCATTTGATCAAAAATAAGAGTAAAAACAGAAATATTGAAATATTATTACAATTTAAAAAAATGCCTGTTTTAATATATTTTAAAATGGAATTTATTCCTATATGTGGGAATATTTGTTCTCACTATATATATATATATATATATATATATATATATATATATATATATATATATATATATATATATATATAAATAATTAAAACTATTATTATTATATGTATTTATATTGTTCTCATTGTGCTCAGACTTACCTCACACAAAGCCACCAGGTGCCGGTGAAAAAAGGGATGGCGGTGTGTGTGAGAGCGAGGGATGAATTCTGTAATTCTTCTTGGAGTGAATGGAGCATGTACAAGTACGTGTATTTAAGATTTGTTCTATTTTTTAGCTGGAGATTAATTTGCTTTATCCCTAAAATAATATCCTTATTGCTTTATTAATTCATGTTTTTGTTTTTCTGCACACACTGTAATACAAACTTTCTCTGTTTATTTTTTAGATTCAGAAACAAAAAAAACAAGAAGCACTGGAACCAAGAACCAAAGTTAATGATGCTATAATTTATTATGTATAATTAAATAAAACTTTATATATTTTTAAATGTTTTTAACCATTATGAACAAAGATTGACTCCTATTAGACCTACTTTGGTCATATACTGTATAATTAAATACAAACACATTGTATGTGTTCTTTTAATAGTTTATCTATTTTATAATAGAATGAATAACACTATCATGCCCTTAAATGAATTATTTATAACTGTAATACATTTCAATTGCGTTACATGTATTTATTATGATTGCAATGTTTCTGATGTCTTTACATGATTATATCAGACATAAAACATCAATATGCATCGATATGTTTGTGTTGCATGTTTAAATTAAAAAAAACATTTCATGTCATGTCTCACCAGTTGTGAACTATTATGTAGTGTGTAGGTTGCTAAAAATGACACACATTTGAAAGGTATGGACTTTGTTAGGGTCCTAATTATGTGCAAATGTCTTTCTTTTTCTGTAGATCACACACAAGACAGCTCAAGACAGAAATTACTGTCACAGCTCAATGTGGAGCAAAACAAAGTGCCATTCCCCCCAGTTCAACAGAGTTACAACATCAAAGCAGAAGCACTGCTTAAATCACTGATTGTTCAAATGTTGTGTAAAAAACAAACCCTCTATCGAAGCCTGGAAAAAACACGTGTGAGTGATACTTAACCACCATGAATTGTCTCTTGCGCTGGGTTTTTGGAAATGGTACAATTTGTGATTCATTTTGAGGAACTTACCCAAACAATTTTGCCATTCATTCTCAGAGCAGATCAGCCGTGACTGAAACTCTGCTAATTACCAAAATTAGCAATCGGTTTTAAAGGAGGTGAATGAAAATAAACGAATCATTAAAATTATTACAGACAATATTTGAAAAAGATACATTATACATTTTAAAAAGAGACGAAACCTTGTCTGTATTTATTCTTGATTTATACAGGTTGGTTTCTTAACATCTTGAGAAAGCCACAGTCCCTCCTTATCAGAGGCCCGTATAAAAACCATTTCCTCAACTGAGACATTATGAGAGTGAAGAGGGTACAGATTGCTGACCTACTTATGAAGTATAGAGACTAAAAGAGAATATTGGCTCACTTCCTCTGGGACATGTGCTCTTGCTAATAGGCTGATAGAAACATTCACATGCTCACAATGAAATGATTTACAGTTGATATGCAGCAGACTCACTGTCTGTGGCTATAATAAAAGGTAATAAAATGTTTTCTTATTTTGTCTTATAATGGATAGACTGTCCACTAAAAATAGTGTATGTTAACAGGTCTGAAATATCTATAGTCATCTCTCTCTTTCTCTGAATCTTAGTCAGCAGTCATTTTGCAAATGAGCTTTCACTAAACATAAAAATAGAAGTAATTATGGGACTGTGTTTTTGATGTGGTTCAGGACCTGTACAGTTTTTGAGACTCTTGTCAGTTGAAACTATTGTTTTTGGTTATCTTAACACAAGGCTGCTTTAGGGACTGCTGTTGTGGGTGAACATGTGATTGTATTTCATAATTGAATGGACATTTACTGTATATTCCATGTGTGCTACATCATACTCTGTAGATGATGCTTAATCATATGTTTATACAGAAGGGAAGTACATGTCAACATGAGTAAATAGCTGAGCCAGATGTGGTTTCACCACAAGAGGAGAAATTACTAGGGGTTTGGAGATGATAATTCCCCATTAAGCGTGATTAAGGTCATCAGTTTTTAACCACATTCTTTTTTTGTGTCTGAGTGTGAAAGCAGAGGCTGTCACACACTGGATAGACGTGATAATCCACAAAGAATACTTGATGCAGAGGAACGATGAAAACACATTTATTACACACATGGAAAATACAGGTAAACACCAGAATGAAACATTAACACGAGACAATGATCAGGCGATGACAGAGGGTTTAATTACATAAAGGTAACATGAGACTAAGTGAATGAAAGGTGTATGTGATCAGTTGGTAACGAAAAAGGGTTTCTATGGAAACTAACAAGATTACAATGGAGATAGTGTAACAGGAACTGAACAAAGGCACAACAAGGAAATATAAAAAAAGGAATAAAAAAAAAGTCATTAACACAGAGACACGGAGCGGATTTCAGATGCCCCTGAAACTGACAAAAAATCCAGGAGGGTGGTGGAGCAAAGGTGGAACAGGGGAAAGGATGGAGGGCCAGGGAGCCAAAGCGGAGCTGGCAGTGACCAGGCTGGAACCGGTAAAGTAGGAGACCCGGCTGTGACAGAGCTCATATTCGGCCTCCTTGGATGTAACACGGCAGACAGAGAGTTAATATTTGGCCGCCTCTGCCTCAGTTGGAGCTGTAGCGGTAGCCGCTGTCTCTGGAGGACCTGTAGGGGTGTATGCGAGCCAAACATACAAGATAGCGGTAGCCAGCACAGACGACAGTGGCAGTAACTCTGCAACCATCTGACCTGGATATGCTGAGAGTGAGACCACCAGATTTGAGGGCACTGAGACCACTGGACTTGAGGGTGCTGAGACCAGGATTTGAGGGCCCTGAAACCAACGGACTTTAGACCCCTGAAACCACCGGACTTGAGGGTGCTGAGACCACTGGGCTTGCTACAATGACCTCAGTTGTGAATCCATCACACTACCGGTCAGTTTCCTTCATCCCTGGACTGATCCAGTGATCAAGAAGATCCACGACAAACCAAGCTCCATGGCGACCAAGTTGGAGAAACTTGAGGTGTGTTGATCATGAGTCATGACATGCGGAGACTCTGGCGTGGCGGCCCTGACTTGACGAGACTCTGGCCTGGCGGCCATGACGTTACGAGACTCTGGTGTGGCGGCCATGACATGATGAGACTCTGACGTGGTGGCCATGACTAAATAAATACTAAATAAACAGGAACTGAACAAAGGCACAGCAAGACAAAAAGATAAAAGTCCTTGAAACAGAGATACAGGGAATCGTGACAGAGACAATACGAGACAATACTACACTTTTTTAAATCTTATTGTAATTATCCATAAATTGGGGACACTTTATTTCCATACTTCACAACCCACCACAAAGACATTTGAAATTAAACATACTCATGTAATTGTTTTAATTATTTTATTATAAATAAATAATATCTAGTAAAGTAAGTAAACTTAATTTATAAAGCACATTTACACACAGCATAAAACTGACCAAAGTGCTGTACAGTGAATAACTAAAAAGACAATATACAAAAAAAAACACATATGGGATCAATTGTGGTAATTATACAAAACAAGAATAAAAAGGAAACCTTCAAGGCACACAACACAGAAATATAAAGAAATTATCAGGAGTACAGGGTTATGGAAGGAAGCCCAGGGAAAGTGGGTTTTTAGCCTGGATTTAAGGCAGTTGGAGGGGGCAGATCTAAGGTTCCACAGACGTGAAAGTATAAAATAAATGAAAATATTATTTTTAACTACATGAAAATTATTATAATTAATCTAATCAAGTGAGAGATATTAATGTGAAGAGGCAGCGATAAAGTCCAATATTTTTTTATTATTCACAGCCCGTGATCTGGTTAGCGCTCAATCTTTATCACAGTTGGCATTGTGAATGCTGAGTCGCCTGGCCTGACTCCTTATCATTTCACCTATCCACCCCCTCTCTTTTGTTTTTTATTTCGGTCTTCAACGTGTGCCCTCATGATGCCACGGCGCTCGCTAATCCGCTCTCCACAGCGCACATGCTCAGTACCGATCACTGTGGCAATCTGTAATGGCTGCGGGATGATGTGATACGAGTCTCGGTACCGCGCCGCGTCTCTTCGGTAGGAATGCTATTCTCTGAGACCGCCAACCACTCCATTCATTCCTCCGTCAACATGGTTGACATCCGACAGAAGAATAAAGGTCGGACATCGTAGGCGCGAGCACTTGCGAGATTCATATTCGTGTGAGTTAAATGTTTATTTTGTCTCTGTAAATTGTGGTTCAATGAGCTGGGGTCTGTCAGTGTTTGTTATCTGAGGTCACAACAGTTCAGCAGCATCTCTAGAGAGAAGGCACATAAATAGCCGCGTGCTGCATAGCTGCATTCAAATATTATACATAACGTGTGATTAAGGCATCGATAGAGGTAGGCTATGTCTAACTTATATCCTTTTATTAAAAAACGTTTAACACCGGTTATCACAACGTGCTAAAGCAGCAGCATTGAGCCTTTGTACAAATAACATCAACACATAAGATCCTCACGGTAGTTGTTCTTATTTAGGACTATTTCGATAAGTAATTTTTGCAGAGGAGTTTATTTAATCCTGCAACAGGCTCGTTGTGCATCAGCCAGTTGCATACAATGAATTTTCAATGAGCTCGGGGTTACTATAGTTCATTTCGAGTTAACACTGGTTCTAACACTAGAATAGCCTATACATTAGCAGGGTTTGGGGTCTTCTAAAATCAGAGTCTTATAAAAAGTTACTTTTGATTGACCCCACCCAAAGGAAATCCAAACAACAAGTTCTTCCAAGTATATTATTTTTACAGACAAGTAACGTTAGGCCTATACATTTGACATGTCTCAGTAATCACAAAGGTCATAGATATGACAAAAGTTAGACTACTGAATGTAACACTTGTTAACAGACATGCATTCAGCTACAAGGTAACCATAATAACAGTAGGCTGCCAGTGATTCATTAATTTTCCGTCTACACAAAACAAACATATAGCCTATTTATCACTTTATATATATTTACATAGGCTATATTGCATATGTGTATCTCAAAAAGACGTTTTATTTGTGACCATTTTTAGCGCAAAAACACAACAGATTGCGAAACGATGTCCTACAGAAGTTACTTTACTAAAGAAGTTACAAAAATTTACTCCTCCCCCAAAAGTCTGCATACTGGTACTTAGCACACTGAGTGCAAAACAGATGCATTGCATTTGCCATTATGCAACTATTTCCCTATATGGACAAGTTTACTGCATAGTGTTATGGGAACTTTGACAATCAAGTTATTTGCAAACACATTATTTGCTTGGTTATGGTATACAACAGGGGCGGTTTCTTCATTAGGGCGATTGGGCGACGCACCACCAAAGTGCGAAAGTGACTTTTTCAATCACATTCACAATCTCATTCAACCACAGAGTTACGCTAGCCGTCACTATAGTGCTATCCTCCAATCAGCGTCATGTCGCGTTCTGTGGAGTACCGCCTCTTTTTGGGCGATTTCACTCTGGCTGAGAATCG